GCAACAATCAATTTCAACGCTTACTTTATTTTACTCAAAAATGCTATATATACATAAAAAAGATATAAATTTAAATAAATAAAAAAAAAATATTAAATTAAATGCTTTTATAATTAAAAGTAAGAACATCAATTATTTGCTAATGCAAGCTACGTAAGAACAAAAAATTTATAAAAAAATTTTAATACTAAAATTGATATCTAAAAAATTATTTGTATATAGTTAAAATAAATAGTTTTAAGCAAAAACAATGAAATAAAACACCGAATATATGTTTATAATAAAATATATGTTTTATTTTGAATTGTAAATTAAATTTTTAAACAAAAAATATTACATTTAAAATAAAATAAATAATAAAACAGAATTATGCAAAATTAAAGCTTAAAGTTCAATCATTAAATATATTTAATATACAAAGCATTAAATTATTGTATTGGAAAAAAATAATTTTATTTTAATTAATACAATATACATGATAGCTACTATATGTATATTTTCTGTGTTAATTAATTAATATTACAAGAAAAAAAGAACATTAATGAAAAAGGCCTAAATAATAATTAAGCAATATTATTTCATAGTAAAATATTTTATTTTTAAGAGGCGATAAGGTTATTAATATGTAAATTAATAATTAAAAATACATATATCATATTAAATTCATAAAATATATATTATAAAAAAATGATATTAAAGTTTTTTTGAAAAATTTTAATTATTATTTAATTATATTTGGTATAAATACATATTGTGGCATTAATATTAAAAATATAAAAAAAAGAAATTATGTTCGAAATGAGCATAAAAAATAAATGAATTATTGAGTGAAAATGCTAAAGTACGTAAACAGAGGTTTTTCGTGTTATATTATTAAATAAAGAAATTTAAATTTTTTAAATATTTTAAAATTAAAATAAATACAAAATTCGCAATTAAATTATCCACATTATTAATTCAATATAAAGTTTAAATAAAATCTTCTGTTTTGGTTGATACGAGGTTTTTTAAATTTTTTTTCAAGTGTATTAGGTAGGTGTCAACAAATTGGTTTTTAATTATATTTCTAAGTATTTTTTCACATTTTAAAATATTTTTAAATTTTTTTTATAAGCGCTTAGTGCTTGCTTTTGCTTTTAAAAAGCTTAGAGGGATTCAAGGTGAGTTGTCAATATAATCGGTTTAATTATTAAGTGTCAAGGTGTTAACTTAAATTTATATATTCCACAATAAATTTAGTATTTTAGACTAAAAATTTTCACGAGAACTATGTAGGTGTTTAACATAATAAGTCAATAAGTCTAAGTGGATCCTTAAAATCGCCGGTATAAACCCAGTAGTCGTACTTATTTTTAAAATCATAAATAATATAATGGAATTGTTTTGTTATAGAGAACTGTAACTGTAACTGAGCGTCTACATTGGCAAGACTTTGGCAAGTTTTTAATGTTCCATTTCAAATACGTACAATTTTGGAATTTAAAAATTTAGAAATCTATATAACTTAGTGAAAAACTGATAGTATATGCAAAAATCTTACCAAAGTCTAACTAATATAGATACATTGTGAAGAAGGACAGTGATGTAACGAAAAACTATATATTGTAGAATTGTTTTCAGCTATTTCTTTAATACATGATTTATTTTTGTTTAGTTTCCTTTCATAATAAAGTACACTACATAATCGAAAGACTAACTATATAATATAATGATAAAACAGCAGTTATTCTACTGCAATATAACATATATATTTGTATTTCAAAGTATTTGAGCATAACGATATTCAAGCAATTGGAGTGAAACAAAATACGCATCTCCTATATTACGAAAGAACGAAGCCTTCCATGTACAATAAGAACTGTTCTAGTTCTTACTAGGACAACTGTCTTAACTGTAACTGTCTTATGCAAGACAGTGAGCATGACATAATATGACCATTCGTTTACCTCCCATATACTAACTAGAGTTCAGTCGATTGTTGGACCGCATTGAAGTGGCTAGGATTTTCTGCATTGATCTTGTTTGACTTTAATTTAAATACCAGTCGTCTCTAATTTATTCTCACTCCTAAACAAACTTTCACACTATTATTACCTATCCACATCTTAATCTATGCATACGCCTTTTAAGCTATTTTCTCAATAGAGTTCTGTAGGCTACAAGAAACAAAAATTAAAAAAAAAGGAGTTCGGAAGTTAACGTATAAATATATTATTCAAAACTGAGCTTTATTCCTAAAACGATATATCTTATTTACACTTTTAAGACTATAAAATCAGTAGATGTATTACAGTTGTTACTTACTATATAAGGAGACTATTTCTAATTAAGCAAACATAGTTATACTTAAACTTAATCTACATTAAAGCTTAGTCCAAGCACTTTTCACTTAACTGTTATTTTAACATATTCAGTTTAATGAAACTAATATAAAATTATACTAAAATTAAAATTAAGCAATTAATTTCACTCTTCGAAGCATTCTTAAGCTTAAGTTTACATTCCTTAAATAATATTAGATAAGCATAACGCTACTTAGCCTGACCATGGCCGCCAAACGCCCTCCACTTTTATAGCTCTGGCATACGGATGCAATCGTATTTTGTGTGTTGTTGCAACAGTTGTGGTTCCGTAATTATGCGCAGCAGGTGTGCTCTGAGCAGCAATTTCTGCACCATTCATGTTTGCCGTTGATGTAACGAACTGTAGTTTTGGCGTAAACTGGCTCATAGCCATGGCATATCTTTGGTAATTTGCTGTTGTTGCCATACTTCCACTGGGTGTAGCTGCATTCACTGGTAGAATCACATTTCCTGCAGCATCCTTTCCTGTTGGCGTTGTTAAAATATTTGGCACATAATTTGCAATATGTTTTATTAAATCACTGCTAATACTGCGATCGTATTTATTCAGAAATTGTGAGACCTCCGCTGCACAATGCTGAAAGCCAGCCCAGAATTTTTCCATATTAATGGTTTCATTGTTGCGTACGAAAAGTGCATTTGTTTCACGTAAACGATGCAAATGGCGCACGGTTAGTTCAAGTATGTCCGCTTTCTCTAGCTTCGATATATTTTCCCCATCCTGTGTGCGAAAGTAGAAAGGAAGTGGATATAATTTATGTTTCAAGACATTTAAGTTTCAAATTAGAAATTTTTTGAAAATATTACTGGTTTGTGCTCTCAAATTGCTTCTCTTCTATGAAAATTGCTTGAATGTATAATAAATATTAAACAGAAATAAAATAACTTTTCATAATAGTTTTTCTCAACAAAAGTTTCTTAAGTTCTTAAAATTCCTCCACAATTTATTTGATTCCAAAAAGTTTTTAACTTTATGAGATTTGATAAAATTTAACAATTATCATATAAATATATATGCACAAAAATTCTTTGTATTGTTATTTTATGGTCTCATTTTTAATATCTCTAAAAATATTTGAAATATAATTGCAAATTATTTCTTGAAAACGAATTGGAAATAAAAAGATTTTTATAAAATATTGAGAACTATCCATTAACTAGAAATTTAATTAGGGGGTATTTAAAGATAAAAAACTGAAAAATTTTTAAAAACTTCTAGAAAATTTTTCTGTAAAAGATCAATCAGTTTAACTGGATGAACTGCAATATCATTTTGCATCAAAATTATTGGAAGCACACATTTCTTGGTAGAGGTATTATTCTTATAAGGATAAATAGATCATTGGATAGATCATTGAATGGTGGAACAGTTAAAATCGTAAAAAGGCGAATACTTCACTGCCGAAAAAATAAATTTCCTGACTGTAATTCAATTATTAACCTATTAGAAATTATACTGCACACAACGACATTTTATCTGCAATGAATTATTATTTATTATATATATATAATTCTTCGAATTTTTTATTATTTACATTCCCAGCGGAATTTGTCTTTCTATATATTATTTAGAAATAATTAATAATAATTAAATAATAATAATATGCAAACTGAAAGAACTGGCAAGCAAACTAAGAGTCTAACGTCAACTATATGAACCTCACGTATTCTGTAATTTAGAATACGTGAAATATGATAAAAAGCATATTGTAGAAGTTTAGCTACTGGAAAGACTTAATTCTTTTTAATTAACTAAAGAGGCAAACTGACATTTCATTAACTATTCAAGACAGTCACCAACAGACTCATTACTCCGATCAAAATTTTTACGGAATTTTTAACTTCAGGTAATGGTTCGATCTGAAAAATATCATCAAATATTTTATCAAACTCTTCAAGACAATCTTGAACAGACTCATTGTACAGGAGAGGGATGATATTAAAATTCTCATAGGAATTCTGTTAGAACTCTTTAGGTTAAGGTACTATCGGAATAAATTCTATTTATCAGGGAAGAATACATATATCTGCTGCTTTTTTCAAATAGATGTTACAAATAGACGTACGAATATGTACATTGATTGTAAATACTCAAAATATATAATATATAAAATATCTAAACAAAACCATGCAAGATGCTTACATTCCTAAAAAAGCCTAAGATCGATTAGAACAAATGAAGTTAGCATAAAGTGCATAATATTCACTACATAATAACTTTAATGTACATATAAAATTATTGCAAAATCTATATGTTAGTCTGTCTTTTACTTGAAACGTTTTTAGTTTTACTGTCAGTTATACAAATAGTTAAGTTCCGATGGCAATTGTATGGGTAGTTCCGATTTCTCCTATATCGTTTCAATCACATTAAACTTTTAGTTGTCCAAGTATTTCATATAAGAATATCAAAGCTGGAAAGAATTTTAATTCTAAGACAAAATAAAATGCCTTGAAATACTTTTAGGTATAGGGATGAAGATATATAAGTTTGTTTCTGGCTGGTATGGTCACTTTCAGTTAAGAATACAGCTCCATAATTTTTTTATCCAAGCATGAATGACATACATAATATGACATGTATAATATAAAACATTTTTAAGAATTAAAGATGAAATACAATTTAATAATTGGGTACTTCCAAATTCAAAAATCAATATATAAAATAAATATTAAATTGGTGAAATTTTAAATAGTTATGTATTAATTAATTAATATATATTATTAAATTAACTATTTCAGAGGAAAGGAATTAAAAGGATTACATTATTATTAAGAACTCAATATATTTTTTGTATGAACACTCCTTTTCGCTTGTCCATACTATATAGTACTACTATATGTATATAAGGGTGGTTCTTAATTATTTTCTAGTACTACAATAGATTCTAAAAATAATCTAATTAATTATGTCTATTAGTCTGTTGAATGAAAAAATGCGTAAACGTAATATATAATATATAAAACCTTTATTCTACAACAGCGAAGCTTATTTAAAAAACCCTACAAAGTTCATTGGATTAGCTATGATCAAATGTCTGTCAGTTTACTAGCAAGTCAGGTAAATGATAAATGCCGTCGGGTACTGTTGGTGAGTTAATACGGCTAGGATATTCAATGGAATTTCTTTTTAAAAACAATGGTACTTCCTACAATTATAGAAGGATGAAGAAACTACTTCACAATCTTTTAGAAATATATATTCAGGAGGACTTCAGTCAGATTAAAATTTTATTTTAAAAAGTGTTTTAAACTTTATTAATGATTTTAAACTTTTCGAGTTTTGTACGATTATACAATGGGTCAATAGACTTATGATCGCAGTTATAAACTATTTTATTTTTAATGATACTCTAAGGATTCAGAAACTTCACTACATCTATTAAAAAATTCTAAAAAATTTTTCTTTCAATTTTTAAAGATTTTTTCAACAAACTCACCGCTTTCAAAGTTCCCGTCATTAGATCCTTCAGTTCATCCAAACACTTGTTAATTCTGGCACGGCGTTTTCTCTCCAGCATTGGTTTCATTATTTTACGGTACTGATAGGTACGTGACACCGGTTCTAACGGTAGAGAATTTAATAAAAACTGATGATTTGGCGCCATTTTCTTTAAAAACTTCATTCACACTATTTTGAAGTAATTTTAAGCTTTGGTTTTATTTTTGGCTTTTGTGTTTGTTTTTATATTGTTTTTGTTTTTTTTTTCTCAAATTCACTGATTTTGGTGCATGTAATTTACAAAATAGTTTGCAAAATTTTCAATTGGTTGGTTTCGCGAGCACTTCTTAAGGTTAACGTCTTGACACTTTCGCGTTGTAGTAGAAAATGATCGTTAAGTTGTTGATTGGTACAATTTTATGTAAGCACTTATCTCTTAACGCTCTCTTTGCGAAAGAGATAAACTTGATATTTAGAGCACAACAGTAGCTTGACACGAGCGCAGCAAACAGGCTTGGCAAACAGTCACACACACCGTGACGATGCTTCAAAGCTGCGGTGCGGTGCGGTAGTGAATACCAAACTTAATGCCGAAACACGTTCCAAGAAGAGTGAGCACTTAAGAGTAGGAAATCGGCTACTGAGTGTGCTACTGGACATAACAGAGTAACAAACTTCTACGTGAAATGCTGGGAGAGGAATTCCATTTTTATGAATGAAATCTGCTGATGATTTCGATATGAATGAAGTGAGCTTTGTGCGCCAAAACACAGCATAAAGTGAAAAAAAATTGCACAAAGTATAAGCACGGAAGGAAATGACAAGCGACAAAGTATGCCTTGTGTTGTTAGAGCCATGCCTGCCTGCCAGAATTGTATGTATGTATGTGTGTGTGTGTGTGTGTGTTGGGTTTGATATAAGCGCACAAACAGCGTGCGGCTTTTATTTGTTTGTTGACGTTCTTTATTTTTTTGTTTTGAATACTTTTTTTTTCTTTGTGAAATATATGGCAAAATTACATTTTGTTGTTGTTTTTATTGTATTTTATTATTGTCTTTTGAAGATTTCTTCATTGTTTTTGTTTTCTAGTTGGAAGTGTTGTGAAAATAAACAAAACAATAAAATGAGAAATTGTTGGGAGTGCGCTAATCTCGTTACGGACGTTGTTTCGGAATTTGCTTCTGTTTTTTTTTTGCTTTTTTGGTTTTGGTTAATATGTTTTTGCGTGTGTTACTCAAGGCATTTTTGCTGTGTGGTAAAATATGACAATGACTCCCGTGGGATAGTTGGCGACTTCAAAGTGGGCATAAGCACCAAGCAATAATATTGAGTAAGAAAAAGTATCAGCGGAAATGGAGCAATAAATAAAGAAGGAATTTCAAAATAAAGACAAACGCAGATCAAAATTTTTATGTTTTTGTTTTCAAAGAGTTTTAATGAATGCAACCATGTGCAGGTTTATTCCACCTTACTAAGTGGATTTTATGGATCTATTGGTATGCAAAATTTATAAAGAGGTGTTTCGAACAGTAGTGAACTACAACAACAAAAATTATTTAATATTATTTTAATGATTTTAATTTTGGGCTGACCATACAGCTGTTTCGAGTATTGCCAAATATCCATCGTCAGCGGTTTTGGAAATAATTCTTGTATATAATTATTCGTAAATAATACTTTTTTTTTGAGACCGCATGTACCAGGAATCGAACTCGTCTAGACAAAATTTGTAAAATATTTATAACATTATATTATTATATTTCTTAAACATGTTAAATTCTATCATCATATGAGATCAGATCAGATCATATGAGGTTATAATAAAAAAAAGAAAAGAATAATTAGTGGACAAATGATCTTGACGTATGACGGTTTTCATATGAAGTTATAATAAAAACAAAAAAAAAAATAATTATTGGACCAATAATCTTGAGGTATGATGATTTTGTTACCAAATAACAATTTTATAGAATGCACACTTAGGGATGATTATCAGACACTTTTCTTCAATTTAAAATCAGCACCACTTGTTAACGTAACCGTAACTAAAAACATAGTCCTTATATCATGAAATTCGGTTAAGCACATTTTTTATTTTGATCCATTCTATGCAGGTTTAGCGAGATTGGTGAAGTTATTGATCTTTATCTATTAGCTGGTAAATCTTATGATTTTTCATTGTTGTAAATTTAGACTTGCGATGATGCAGGTTCAGCCTAGTAGTATATAATTTAATTTTGATAGTCTAGTGTTCCATAAGAGCCAATAATATATTAAGATATCTTTTTTGTTTTCATAGAATAAATCTAAAATTGTTACTTGACCATAAAAGTCATGGTTATACTAGCTGCTCTGGCGATATTCACCAAATTACTGTTAGTCTGTAGCACATAGATTAATTCCAAATTCTATGATATTTACTAAAAAGGTTATCTTATCTATATTACCTGGCTGCTGTGACTATATTTAAGTAACGTGTGTCAGTGCCACCACGGGCTTTGCTGTACAAACCAAAATGAAAATAACGTATAAGTTTATATAGAGTAGTTAAAGTAGAATAGTGCAAATAAATAAATAGATCAAATCTAAAATTACAGATTTGGACTATAACTGCCATACCACCCTGAACCTGGCTTCTGTATTAACTTTTAAACAATCTCTGTTAGCTTTTAGCGTATAGATCAATTCTAAAGGATATGATATTGAATATAAAGGTTATGTTATCTACATTTAAGTAACTTCTGTTAGCCTGTGGAGCATAGATCAAACCGAAAATTATATAACTGGACTGTAAACACAGTGCCACCGTTGGTTTTGATGTAGAAAACAAAAAAAAAAAACAAAGAATTTATAGAGTAGGTTAGATAAAGAAGAATGATTAAGGTAGATTAGTTAAAGCAGATTTGGTACAGTATATTGAATAGAAGGGATTAGCTGTTCGAGTCGCTCGAATATATATACAAATAGTTGAACTGTTTTCGATCATTTGAGGTGTTTGATATAAGATTTGGAATTATAAGATATTCAAGCAACTTGAGCATCGTGATATTCAAAATATGCTTTGAGTAAATCAATAATGTCTATTATTAAATAATAAATAAAAAAATGAAGCTGATTTGTATGATTCATACTATTTAACATCAGCGCATGACAAATTTCTGCAATATGAATCGACTTTATTGACTTTATCTCACTTCTGGCAGCGTAACAGTTCCCACGGTGAATAGCACAGTAACATGATCATGTTGAATCACAGCATCAATGATGCGATAAGGAAAAACAAAAAAAAAATCTAAAGCTATGCGAGACTGACAGTCCAACAAACATCAGTTTCTGCTGATTAGACAAGCACAAAACATAAGCAACATTAGCAACACTGGCAACAGTCGCAACTGCAGAAGCTATAACATCAGCAACAACAACAACAACAATAGTAACTACAATATGAGGAACATTGGCAAGTTATAAGAATAACATAGTGGCAGCTAATACGATTGTGCCCCGCAAGCATTTTCACATCTTTCGAAGTGTTCTTATGACAATAAAAGTAATTGAAGCTTAGCACCGAGCACTGAAGTTGCTGGCTTATGTCGAGTGCTTACAATGTTGAAAGGAAATGTGATTTTCACTACTGCTATGTTATCTTGCGGGTGGGCTAGGGGAGTAGAATATGAGGAGAGCTCATGAAAGAAGTTTCCATTTACAAAATCTGATTAAGCAGAAGACAGCAGATTGAAGACTTGTTGCGTAATTTTTATCTAAATTTTTTTAATATTTTTTTTATGTGAATTTCAAATGCGAGCAAAATTTACGACTTTTGCGCACAACATGAAAACTCACTTGACACAGCTTAAATAAACAAATAATATCGTAAAATATTTTATAAACAATTTTAATTGTTTACTATATATCACTTATTTCTCAACTTAATGAATTAACGATAGCTTTTTTTTACTGTCAAGTACACAATTGAAAATTCTTTTCAATACAATGTAGATAAAGCTCTTGAGATAGAAGCAAATGGAAGACAGTGAAGAAATTAATTCGCATTTTTTTTTAATTAGAGACAACGTCACTAAAGAACTGTTACTAAATTTAGTAGATTACATATTGAAAATGCCATTGAAATGTATTTATTGAATTACTGAACTAATATTATATAAATTGTACAGTAAACCCCCTAGCACCTGTCTCACAAGCAGTCAATCTTCATAGTTTATATAGAGGCTAATGTAAAGCAATACTCTCCTGTGAAATTTTTATAAAATAATAAATAAACTAATAAATTTTTACACATCAGAGCTTTATCTGTAATAAATGCTTTCATAAAAAGGCCGATATCTGAAAGTCCTTATTCTTATTTGAAATGTACGGTTAAATGATACTTTTTGAATAGTTTATTTGTGACTGATTTAACTGAATAGTGCTTTAAGAGTAAAAACTAACAATATTAAAAATGCGAATAGAATGAAAGAGTAATTGTTTTGCATGAAATTTAATTTGTTATAAGTTTTTTTTATCAATGAATGCAAAATATTACAATATAATCAAGCGACTTACATTAATTAAGCCCTTTAGCTCCATTGAAGCACGCAGTCACTTTTCAATTTGGCTAAAATTTCTAGCTTAAGAAAAGTAAGAAAAAAAAAATAAACGAAAAAAGTGCTATACTACGACACTAAAATAAAAGCACTAAATAATGAACTACTGTAATATAAAATCCACTTGATCTACAAATTTCTAGTAGTGTAACTGCAAACATAGAGCTACCAACTCATACTCTGACTTTACGTATGCAATAGTTTGTTAACAGTTAATGTTGGTTTTCATTCCCTCAGTTAGTTATCAGTTACCGATGCTCATAATCTATTACTCTTCGATTACAGAACAGTAGTTGGAGACGTTTTGATGTATAGTCGTAGGCTATGTTTATCATCAAACAGATTTGTATAAAGCGAAGAGACTGGAAGCGAAGAGTTGGTCAATACCGACGTTTATAATCTATTACTCTTCGATTACAGAAACAACAATAATGGAACGGTAGTTGGAGATTCTGTGATGTATAGCCGTAGGCTGTATTTATCACCAGCGAAGAGACTGGAGATCGTTACTAATTAAATGTATTTAACTATCCTAGAGCATTTAGTGTGCACTATGGTCACTTCAGGCGACTTAAGCAAATTGAGCGATCAAA